AGATTTAAAAAAGGAGTGAGAAGTTAATTATGTTTATTTCATTTGATAGATATTCAATAAAAAATTAATTATTACAAATATGTTTTATTCTTAGTTTGTGCACTAATTTGTTCATAGGTCAACGTACCCCTAGTATAAAGTCAACCAACCCCAGACATGGGGTAGGTTGACTCATAGTTCACGTTCTACAAAATCAAGTTCGTGAACCATACCATAACTAACTGCAAGCATTTTGATATTTTTTTCCAAACCTTAATAGTTTATCTATCGAATGTATTATTGTTTACTTTAGTATACACTACAACAAGAAAAATATACGCGTCTTAACTGAAATTTGGTCAACCAGCCCCGGTCTCCCCTACTTAGTAGCAATAGAGAATAAAAATCCCGTCTTATGTTGTATCTAGATGGCGTTGATCGATTTAATCTGTCAATTACAATTTCATAAACCAAATCACAGAGGCGCTCTTTTTTTTCTGAACTGAATTTTTTTCTGTCATAGAACTATAATGAGTTTCAAAAAAAGAACGTCGTATTTTTGCTAAACAGTATCTTTAAACGTGTCACCGTGTTCTTGTACAGAATAAAGTCTCTATGTTTATGAAATTATTGAAATTAAAATTGTTTTATGAAATAATATCTCATAATGCTACACAACAGGTACAAGGGCGTAATCATTGGCAAAGAGTTCGTCCAGGGAAGTGCCACCTTACCCATTTCTGCCGTTAAATAGTAATGTGAGCATTAGTGTGTTACGGTTTTGAAGGGCGTTGGTGAAATTACAGGCACATGGCACTTATCGACTAATGTCTCAGGGTAATCGGCGCAGTGGCAGTGCTCCTCCGAGACTGAAACTGTCTTAGACAGGCGAGTCGTTTACCACCGAACGCACGTCACTTGGTATTTAAAAAAAAATTACAACTTAAGTCTGTTCCAATCCATTTTAAGCAAATAAACCTGTTTGGTTAAAATTCTCTCATCACTTTTTCCAACAATATTCTTTTAAATAGCATCGTAAAACCGTATTTGAAAAATGGTAATTAAAAAATGAGGTTATTTTTCATCTATACTTCTATGATCTGTCTATGGTTGCATAGTGATGTACGAAAAAAAATATTCCGTTAATTCTGAAGGTTTTAATTAAATGTTTTGTAATCGATTGATGAATCGAAAATTTCAATCGCAATCGGACGAGTATCTAAGTGTAAAGATTGGAAGGAGGATTTAAAATGAAGATTTTGGAAGTTTTAAATATATGCTTTTAAAGGTTATGTATTTTTACTATTCATGTAAGGAAAACCTCTAGTATGACTCAATTAAACAAATCGATTTATTAAATTAATTAATCGATTTTTAGTTTGCATAATTGACCATCGAAATTGTCTATGGTCAGGTCAGTGACTTGTTTGTTTACTTTTGGTTTAAAATGGATTGAAACGAAATATAGGCACTTTTGTTGTATGTAAAATATAAATTTACCAAAGTTTTTGTTCTGCAATCTGACACTATTTTTAGATCTGTATTTTGCAGTAATGTAGTAGGGTCAAACGTGCAAGCGCCCTAGATGATCACCACCCCACCACCGCTCCTGCGTCTTGCATTGGACTGGAATTACGCGCTTTCTTTGGGACCGCATAGAGTTACCATCGTTTAAAGCGCTGCATTGAAATATTTTTGTACGAAATACTGGATTATGAGGAGTACAAACATTCTTATAGAATTCTACTTCTAATTATGATGATGAAATATGTAGTATAGTTTCCAAAGCATAGCAGTCGCGAAAACCTAAGAAGTTTATATTATCTTTTTTCATATTAAATAGAATTTGACACCAGCCCATTGGCATATTTCGAGAATAGCACTTATGGTATTAACAATTTTATTATTTTTTAAAAATACTTTTATTTATTTTTTTAATGGGGGACGAAAATCACAATCGCTATCGTGAGGGACACTGCGTGTCTCTAGGACGCGTGACGGTTTAAAACATAATTTTAATTTGAATATAAATTTAGGAAATGAAACTATTTTTCCGGATTTAAATCGCATATATGTATTTATATACAAAGAAAACATTCCAATTTACGCTAATGTAAAATTAAAAATAAGGTATGTAATTAATAACTATTGTAACTATAGTGAAAAAATAGAGTGGTTTGCATTAATATTAAACATAACTGGTTGAAGACTGTACCACCTCAGTCAACCGTGACCATGGGACCTGTAAAGGGCCGGAAACGTAGATTTGTTTGAAAAACAAATATATGCGATTTAAATCCGGAAAAATAGTTTCATTTCCTATGTGTAACAATCGCGAAAACCTAAGAACTCGATTTGAATATTAATTTTTTTGAATTTTAATATCATTTTTTATGAAAGACTTCACTGCAGTATTGTACAATATGGGTGGGTAACATACCTGACACCTTTCATATAATCGTCTTCTGGCACGGAATATCTGAAAGGATCATGGGAAAATCCAACCAGCAACGGCACCTTTATTGCATTTTCTCTATCTTTTAACGAATAGTCATAATCCAGATCCAATTCATTCCCTCTAGAATCTTCTTCTAAGCTATTTGTATATTTATTGCCACTAACTACATCCTTATATTTATTTAAATTATATTTACTGGCCAAGTTATTTTCTTCTAATGTATATCTCGGACTCGTGCTTAAGTGAACTAAGTTATATTGTGTTGAATATGGCCGCGTTCTATGTTGTAGATGAACGTATTGTGTGTTGTTGAAAATCTGGTCGAACGTCAGGTGATTCGGCCAATCTGTAACAAGAACAACAATTAAGTACGTTGACTGAAAATGCGTATACTCTAAGTCAAAGTCGAATAATCTTTATTTCATTGGTAAGCAAATTACACCTAAAATAGACATACTGATTAAACTCTACTGCTTATTTGTAAGGCAGATTCCCCTGAAAAAAATGAGCAAGAAACTCTAAGGGTTCCTCTTTGTAAATATACATTTATTATTACAATATTTAATTTAAACGTCTACTACCTGCAAGAGCTAAACGGGTCACTACACTGAATTTCCATCACCCAAGTACGCAGAAGCTGTATTAGTATAAAGTTTTTGTTTCACAATTTTGAATGTTAGTCGGAATTTTATTATATATATGCGTATACATTGCCCCTTAAATTAATTTCAGACTTTGTGAAGACGACTGTCAAGAACAGTTTATTTATTTTTATTCCTCGTATTAATGTTATGTCCGTCACTATTTTTCATAAAAAAATAATATTTTTCTTAACACAAATAATATTGGAAATTAAACTATTTTTCCGGATTTAAATCGCGTATATTTGTTTTTTCAAACAAACCGACGTTTCGGGCCCTTTACAGGTCCCATGGTCACGGTTGACTGAGGTGGTACAGTCTTCAACCAGTTATGTCTAATATTAATGCAAACCACCCTATTTTTTCACTACAGTTACAATAGTTATTAATTAAAAATAATTTTTACAAAACAAATATACACGATTTAAATCCGGAAAAATAGTTTCATTTCCTATGTGTAACAATCGCGAAAACCTAAGAACTCGACAAATAATATTTTTATACATGTACTGTGACGTTAGTATGAGCGTATGCACACTACGTCAGATTCGTGTCAGTTCCGAATCCGAGAAATGACTATCCGAAATGTCACAGGGATCATTATATCTCTCGGTGTACAAGCGATATTCGTATTCTCTCGGATTGGAATCGGACTTAGTGCACAAGTGACATCCGAAGTGGGTCCGAGTTTTCTGGACTTGTATAGTCTCGCTGAGAATGTTAATTTCTTTAAACTTACCCCAAATCAAAAAGCCGTCATTAAATTGTGAAAGTAAGTAAACCAATGTTACTGTTTCGACTACGTCTGAAAGTTAAATTCCTAGCCCACATCGGACCCGCGTGGTAGTCGATGGGATACACCCTCTCTTTATTATGCTTGATTATGATGAGAATCGTTAGCTAAATTTGAACACCTCGTAACTCCGTTTCTTTTAGTAACAGTATATAGCTCCTTGTGAAAATGTTCGTCTAGGGAAGTACTGCCATCTTACTTATTTCAAGCAGTAATATGTGCATTACTATGTTGCGGTTTGATGAAATTACAAGCACATGGGGCTCGTTAATTTATGTCTCAGGGTGCCGGACGCAGTGGCATTGCACCTAAGATCTTTGCGATTTAAAGCTCTGAGTGGCACTTTAACGTTATGGAAACGTAACGGTATTGCTTACCACCTAGCATACGACTTGTTCGTCTCGTCGTTTAGTATTATTTAAAAAAAGTACTACATTCGATTTTTACTTCAAAACAAGGTGGAGAATCCAAATGTGACTGTACGTTTTTTTTCTTTTCGTATGTATGTTACGCGATAAGTCAATTTGTGAACCGATTTTGATGATTCTTTTTTTATTGAAAAGAAGGTACCTCAGCAGTGGTCTCATTTAAATTTGAAGAAAATATTCCCCCTCTAAGGGTGGCATACTAGGGGATGAATCCGGTTTCGCGCACTTTCCGGTAACCGATTTCAATAAAACTTGGCAAATATATAAGTTTTTGTGCCTATTCAAATGTTCAAATTAATGGAGGTTACGAGGTTTGCGAATATAGCCGACAACACAAAGAAAAATTCCTTCGATGAATTGGACACGAGCCTTTTGCCTCAACAAGGGTATAGTGTCCAGTCGGAAAGAATTTTTCTTTGTGTTTATTCAATCTTAGTATCAATAATAATAATAATGAAAGTACTGTTGGATTCTTTTTGTAAAACCCAATGTTTATAGCCTGGGCCTTCGCTGTATGGTAACATGCAAAATTTTCATGAACACAGAAAAATAACTGGGCCATTAAAGTAAAGATGTGTAATTCAAATGCGTGGTAAGATTTTATCAACCATTTAGGTACAACAGGCTTTATGCACTGTATATCACAACACAATGGTGTTCTTTTATCTAATAGAATTCATAAAAGACATTGCATACAATGAATGCTACACGCTTTTCAGTTGCAATCGCGTGTAAAAATTAAAAGGCGAGTGCCCTAATTTTAGACAGATTTTTTTATGCGTACAATTAAAAAAAAAATAAACAAAAAAATGTAAGTACTACGAAATCCAAGCTTCAGAATTGAAAGGCGTTTTATCGAAGTTGACCATTGCACTATTCATTAACTTAATTTAAACTTTTTTTACGATAATAAGTGTCAGGACAAATAAGTCGTGCGCCTGATGGTAAGCGACACGCCGCATAATAGTTGCAGTGTCGCTCAGAGCTTCAATTCGTAAAGATCTGAGGAGTACTGCCACTGTGGCCTTGAGACATAAGTTGGTAAGTTCTATGTGCCTGTAATTTCACAAGCATCCTTACCTTTTAAAACCAGAACGCAGGAATGCTCACATTGTTTGGCGGCAGAAATAGGTAAGGTGGCAGTGCTTCTCTAGACGAACTGTTTCACAGGGAGCTCGACTGCTGCTGAGATTTTGCGTTGGATAAAAAGAATATGGAAGTCATTTTTATAGCAGACACGTAAGAAGCAAGGGGCGTTTAATATAGTTTCAAAAAGAAAGGACCAGGAGGTTTACTCTTTTTCAACGAAAAGCGAAATTTCGATCGAAGTTTCTCATATTTTTTGCCACAATTCCTTTTCATTGCGTTTGTTACACGTTTCAATAAAAAAGTAGCACTTATAATTTCGCCTTCACACGCCTTCACATTAAAATTCCGAAGAATTATTTGTCAAAACCAAATTTCGTTCGGACGTTTCATGAATTAGCGAAAGGTAACGAAAAACTAAATGCCAAACAATTTTCGTTCGAACGAAATTTCGCAATGAAATAGAATTATTTTTGTAAATTCTTTTTTCACAAAATTCATATTTTTGTTTTTTCTTTCGAATTTCTTTTTTTTTAATTTTTTTTACACGAAATTCGGGAAGCATGATATTAGTAAATAAATATGGCTGTTTACAAAAATTACCAAAAAATAAAGTTGTCGTAGTGTTCAATAGAGGTATCGGTATATGCTGAAAAATTCTCGAAACTATCGAAATTTTTTAAAACCGAGATTTTCGGGATGTTAAAGGCTATAATATACCTTCCTTTTCTACAGTCGGGTGAGAATAGGATAAAATATCACAATCGCCACGTTTGCTTCACTTTTATCCAAATTGCATCTTAGTTAAGACTTCTCTACTTAAAAGTAACCTTTCGAAGTTATGTAAATTGTATACATAAATTCTCTTTAATCGCTAAGATTTCCCTTAGCCTTGCAGTAAAAGAGTTAAGGCTAGTTTGGAAAATTTTAACATCGTTAAAATGATTTCGGCGACCATAATTTTAGTAATTTAGAACCGGGTTTGGTAATTCTTAATGTCGTAACTTGTAGTGTTTGAACAATTCGATCTTCTTATTGTATCGATGGCATACACAAGAGCTTGCTATCGTGGGGAAAGGATTTACGTGGCGTAAGGTATCCACCGATTGTTATGCCAGGGTGCGTCAGACATACAGGAAAAGAATGGTACGTAATGCTGTGACGTTCCTTTCATGCACCCACAAACAAGTCGACTTTATGTTACGTACAGCTCACGAATTTAAGTCGAATATTTGCTGGATATGTTTCGATCTAGTAACAATAAGAAATTTTTAATCAATCAAAAATCTTTAAGAGTCGATACTACGTCAGTTCGAATTCAAATTTTTCCCATACTAATACGGTTCATTTTGCTTGGGTCGAGCGACAGGGACACTGACTTTTGTTTTAGAATTTATTTTTTTACAAACGAAAACAACGCCTTTCGAAAAATGTATATCGTATACTATTTGTGTTCTATAATTCAGTTGATATTAAAAAAAATCAATTGTATATGTAAAGGGTTTCCCCAGTGCGGGGCTAAAAAGAATTTATGTTTTAATCTGAAAAAAGAATACTTCAATATGTCCAGTATCATATATATTACGAACTTTTTCATCACAATTCAACTTTCAAATAGTTATTTGCTATGCAAGGCTGCAAAGTTGTTGTTTGACGCGAGACTTGTATTGAAACCTAAGCAAGCTAAGATAGAAAAATAGATTCCTAAGCATAGCGAGTGTTTCAAGCCACGAGACGCAAAACAACTTTGCTGCCGAGCAAACATACAATTTGTCACCTCACTACAGAGAGGAAAATGGTAGATAAAAAAAACAGTTGACCTTTAAAACATCAGTTTTTTTAACCAAATCAAAAAGTTTACCTTCGGGTGCGTTCTAAATTTGCTTTTGCATAATAAGAATAAAATATAGCAAAGGATTTATATTGCATAAATTAGTAATGTACGACAAATCGTGTAGTTGAACGTGTCGTTACCTTTTTTCATCGCAAGAAAAAGTTAGGTGCGTGTTGCACAGTCGACCGTCAAATTCGAATTTCAAAAGATTTTGTAATGCGAGAGAAAGCCTTTCCGAGCTAGTGAGGTGAAAAAAATTGGCATTACATCTATGTGTCAAATTTTACTGAAAATGCAAGAAATTTAATAAACCGGATTGATCCCCCAATTTGCCACTGTTAGAGGTGGAATATTTTTTTAAAATTTGAATGGAACCGTTACGGAGATACAGTCTTTCCAACAAAAAAAGAATTATCGAAATCGGTTCACAAAATATCGTCATTGCGTAACATACACACAAAAATCACATACGAATTGAGAACCTCCTTTTTTAAAGTCAGTTAACAAAAAGATGATTACCTCACTTATAAGGTTTCCTTAAAGTGTTTTTGAACAAGCGCAAGA